CTCCAGATGTGTTGGGAATATAGTTCCAAAAATTTGTAGCCAGCATGACTGACTGCATTCAACATTTTGGGAAGGCATCTGGCTGGGCAGACTGCTTTAACTTCATTAATCCATGTTGGGAAGAAATTGTTTTAATATGTCAGTACTGGAAGCAATTTAGCTGAATTCATCAAATCTTGAATAGAAACAACAAATCACTAGGTCCTGATGGCATCCACCCAAGGGTTATTAACCCATGGGTTATTAAGGAGCTTAAAGCTGAGATTGTGGACGTCCTAACTAAAACATGCAACCAGTCTCTGAACTCGGCCTATGTAGTTGAGGACTGGAAGTTGACCAATGTAACTTCAATTTTTAAGAAGGGCTCATGGGGGAAATTATATCTGTTACCTTAACATCTGTTCTGGGGAAGATAGCAGAAACTACTTTTAAAGATAAAATTACTTGGAGATTACAGATCTTGTTCAAGAACACCCAACATCACTTGTCTAAGGGAAGGTCTTGTCTAACTAATCTACTAGAATTTTTTGAGGTGTTGATAAACATGTGGATAAAGGTGAACCAGTAGATATAATATACTTATATTTTCAAAAAGCCTTTGATAAAGTCCCTCACCAAAGACTTCTCAATAAGCTTAACAGCCATGGAATAAAAGGGCAGGTCCTCTTATGGATAAGCAACTGGTTAAAGAACAGAAAACAAAAAGTAGGAGTAAATGGACATTTCTGTACTAGAACTGGTGCTTTTTAACATATTTAACAAATGATCTGGAATCAAGCATAACTAGTAGAATAGCCAAGTCTGCTGATGACACTAAATTGTTCAGAATGGTAAAAACAGTAAAGGACTATGAAGAGTTCCAAAGGGATCTCTGCATGAAAGAAGCAGATGTCAAAATGGCAGGTATCATTCAACATGACCAAGTGTAAAGTGATGCATATTGTTGCCAAAGATCCTACAAACTAATGGAATCAGAGCTAGCAGCTGATTAAGAAAAAGATCTTGGAGTAACGATAAACAGGTAAAGGTATTGACACAATGTGTATTCACTGTAAAAAAGGCTAACAGCATGTTAGGGATAATAAGAAATGGTATTGAAAATAGAAATGCCGGTATCATCATGCCCTTAAATAAATCAGTGGTTGACTGCACCTGAAATATTGTGTGCAGTTCTGGTTGCTCAGCCTAAAAAACAATATAGTGGAAGTAGGGAACATTCAGAGGGGATTAGAGGACACAAAAGGTCCTCTTGCTGCATCTAATGGTTGCATGTATTTTACAGCCCAACTCTGACAACCCTACTTTAATCCTTTCCTTCCAAGGAAATCAAACTGGGATGTACTCTTGTGCTGTTCACAACTATTACGTTAAAAAATGTGGAACAAGGAAGAAACAATAACAAAATCATATGTAAATGTAATTTACCAAATGTTAAGGATAAAGTAACACACAAAAGAGGCCAAACTGGACCCCTCCAATCAAATCAAATCTTTATTACTGTCATAGACCAGCATAGAAACTGGATCCCTATCCCAAGTTTGTTCCAGGTTAGTTTACACTCAGCAATCTCTGAGTCAGTCTCTATCCAGGTCACAACAAGAACACAACATTCAGTCCAGCTAGGAAAAAACACAGCTTGATTAGCAAATATCAGAACTGTCAAAAATGGGATACAATGAAAGGAAGAGAGAGAGAGAAAGATGAACAACAGGCAAGAATTTACATTATCTGTCCAACTATCTATAGCTACCAAAAGGCACATAATTTTTCAGAGTCACTGGAAACAATACTGTGGGTAATTGGCATGGACAGTCCCAAAGTGAGTGGCCTTTGGTTGTTCAACATTAACCTTTTATGTATATAACAGCAGCAGAACAGAGATGAAAAGTAGAACAGCAGGTGATCCCTCCTCTTCTTCAGCATAAATGGAATAATTTTGTGGATGGGGATGATGTATCCAACAAAGGTCAGGTGATTCTTTTGACAATAATAGAGAAGTGGTTTGCTGTTACATTCTTTTGGGGTATTTTTTCTGAAGTCCCACTCTAATCCACAACCCTGGGATTGTCTGGTGGTTTCCCATCCAAGTATCAGCCTAGTTAGAGCCTGCTTAGTTAATCCATGCAAAATGAAACACATAAAAAATTGTGAACTGTGACGTGGTTCAGTACTGTATATATAACTCCATAGAACAACAGTGACACCTAATGGTGCACTGCTTTCACTTTTTGCTGCATTTGCAACTGAAAATTCTGAATATTTTGTTTGCAAAACTAATGCGAGATCTTTTATTTGTTCATGTTTGTGAAATTCCTTTTGGTGACAGTTGATGAAATGTGTATGGAAATACAACACTGAAAAAAAAAAGCAAGCCATTCCAGATTGCATTTCCTTACACGTGTAGTGCTGTAGAAGAAATAAGGACTCACTTTTCAAACTGAGGAGGGAGAAAAGTCATAACAAGATCCATCAGACTGGGTGTTGCTGCTGGAATTAGTCCTGCCGACAGAATGAAAAAGCCTACTTTCAGTTATCATATTTTGGAGCACTCTTAAAAGATATCTAATTGCTATTTTTCAAAATGTTCCTTTGCTTTTTTTCAAAGTAGGACCTTCCTCAGCAGTGATTTGCAGTCAAAATGTAAAAGTTGAAATGACTCATTCCAATAAAGCCAGAGTGCACTCGTGTGCGCGCGCTCTCTCTCTCTCTCTCATATATATATATATATATATATATATATATATATATATATATAT